ATCATCATGAACACCACCACAACCATTAATCATCATCTTCCTTCTCATCGTCATCCTCGTCCTAATCCTTCAGCATAGTCGTCGCCGCCGTCGCCATCGTCACCGGCATCATCATCTTCTATGGCATCGTCATCGTCATCATCCTCCTCGACATCGCCTTCGTTATCATCAGCATCATCACCACCACCACCATCATCATCATCATCATAATCAAGATCACGACACCCACCATCATCACCACCCTCAGTACCATCCATCATCACTCATCAGAACCATAATCATCAGCATCATCATCGTCGTCATCACCATGGATAGCATCACCATCATCAACATCAGCATCATCATCGTCGTCATCATCATCAGCATCATCAGCAGTGTCAGCATCATCAGCATCATCAGCATCAACGTCATAATGAACATCAGGATCAGGATCAGGATCAACAGTATCGTTCCTCCTCCTCCTCCATCCCGTCTTCTGAACAAGACATCCCTGTCGCGCCCCCAGACGTGTTGGTAGGGCGGGCCGGGCGTGTCGCCTGAGACTTCCTCACGATGCATGGTCCTGACGCTCGAAATTTTCAACAGCTTCAAGGATAGAGGGCGGGGCGTTTTCAAAATTGAGCTCGCGACCTAGCGCTGCGCACATTAGATGTTCAAACGTTGCGAAAACTTCGCGAATGTATGGCGGTTCCTTTTCAAAATGTTGGTATCGCCTTAGAGCTGCGCGCATTCGATTTTACACCTTTGCAGCCGTTTCAAGGAGAGAGCGGCTCGTTTTCAAAATGCGGCTCGCGTTAGCGCCGCGCACATTCGACTCGAATACTTGCAACAAGTGCACGGATTCGCACGATTGAAGTCCCAGGACAGGCGTGCTGGCAAGATTTTAGAATTCAACAGTCACATTGACTCGTGGTGTGGAAGTCCCAGGCACGGTGTTCTGGGACGATGACGCAACCATCACGTTAATTCGCGGTGCTAGAACCATAGAAACTGCGTGCTTACACGGTTGAAGATTGTCAAACGTGTACCTTCCGATGGATGACTTCCGCAATGCAGATAATTTCTTGCAGGGGCCTAGGAAGGGGGATCTTGAAGGGAGGGTGTATTGCAACATCGCTTATGCGTCTGATATAAACACTGGTCATCCTCGCATTGTTATTCGTAGTCACCGTCATTACGGTGATTCAGATTATGAGTATCATAACTCGTCTTCGCCTTCGTAATGAGTTTAGTTAGCGTGTTCTTATTATCATTCGTATTCTTATGTGTCTGCCTACTCCTCCTCATCCACCTCATTCGAATCAGTAGCATTCGTGTCGTTGTATTCCTCTTCTTATGTTTAGTATAATCCTCCTCCTCCTCCTCCTCCTCCTCCTCCTCCTCCTCCTGCTCCACCTCTGAATTCCTTTGCTATGATTACCAACCTCCTCCTTCTCTTCATCCATATCCTCCACCCCGCCCCAACTCCACCTCCACCCGCACCTCCACTTTCTCCTCCTCCTCCTGTTCTTCCTCCTCCACCTCCACCTACACTTCCACCTCCTCTTCGACATCCTTTCCTCCTCATCGCTCCCCTCTCTCCTCCTCCCCCTCCTCCTCTCCTCCTCCCCCATTCCCCCCCCCACTTTTTTCCCACCCTTTTTCCTCCCACCTTCCCCCTTCATCCTCCTATCCTCTCCTACTCCTGCATCCTTCCTCCCCCGATCCCCTCCTCCTCCCCCTCCCCCTCCCCCTAGTCTTCCCCCTCCCCCTCCCCCTCTCTCCCTCCTCATCTTCTTCGGGTGCGTGTGATCCTTGCGCACCTTGCTGGAATTCTTATTCTTGGAAGACAGATTGCTCTTCACGCCGCGTGAGAAAGCCCACGAAGGACAAGACCCGCAAGAAGAATAATAAGGGCACATCGGAGAAGAGTGAGCAGCAGTTGGAGGTGCCCGCCTCAACCGCAGCTTCATCGTCGCCTGTCGTTAGTTCGCATCCTTCTCGACATGTGCCTGGCGCGTGTGAGCTCGGGGCACAGGCTTTGGCTGTTATTGCGACGGTTGCTTCTTCAGCCTCTGCTCATGGTGCACGTCACACGGCTGACCATCTGTCCTGGGCATCTCCCGAGATGCTCGCCAATCCTGACTGAATCGGCTCCCCCATGCACGAGAGGGGTCATACATAATTACGGGCTTGGACGTCACCTTAGACTACCAAGTGAGCTTCGCAAAGCCGGGTGGGAGTTCCGTGACACACCATAGGTTGTTGGGTGCACCAAACTTTCGACGGCTTCTAGCCCTTTTCGGCTCAAACCTCCTCCTCCGCCCCGCCCTCTGCGACAGTCTGCCAGCCAGCCGCCGCGCCGCTTTGCAGCCGCTTCGGTTGCCGCACCTTGCAAAACCCTCTGACTCCTTGTCCTCCTCCTCCTCCTCCTCCTCCTCCTTCTCCTCCTCCTTCACCTCCTCCTCCTCCTCCTTCCCCTCCTCCTCCCCCTCCTCCTCATCCACCTCCTCCTCCTCCT